TCCTAGAGCCCTATCCTTTCCTCGAACACAACTCTTATGAAGTGAATTGCAATTGTCTGTTTGCTTAACCATTGTCTTCACTAGACTATGAGCTACTTGGGGGCAGATACTGTGCTTTTCTCTAACCTAAGTCCCTAGAATAGTGTCTGGTGTAGAGCAGATGCTCATAAATGGTTGACAGAATTCATGTATTTAAAACAGGCTTAAATAAATACAACAATCCTGTCTCTGGCTTCTCACTTACAAAAGAGCATTTAGAAAAATTAGCCTCATAGGTAAATCCAGCTATTATTGAAAGGAGTGCTTTTTTTTTTTTAAAGACATTTTAGTTTTTTATCTCATTTTAGTAAGTGCTGAAAGAATGTGTAAACTCACCATAGGTGACAATATTCTAACACTGTCACAGGAGAATTCACACCTATAGATGAGCTAGTGGAAGAACAAAGTTAGTTTTGAAAGGTTAGAGGAAAAGATTTTGAAATGTCAAATCCACTCTATAAAACTGACCATGCTTGGCATTCTTTTAATCTACCTGGGCTTGAAAATAGCCTAAGGCAATTGAAATGAAGACAATTAGCACCTCAGATAGGGCGTCCACATGCAGAATTCTGTCACCTCTCAGAGACCTCAGGAGGTGACAAGTTTAGATAAGAAACCACTTTCAACCTTGGTTGACAGTTTTTCTAACTTCCAATGCTTTCATATTTGATTTAAATGGCATCTATATTTTGAAAGGTTATAGTTTTCCTTAAACTGTGAAGCTCTCTTCCTCCACCCTATGATTTTTATTTCTTAGGTTATTTTAAAACAACAAGAACAAAAATATTTCCCCTATTGGATGAGACTTGAGAAAACAGGTCTTGCTTCTTGCACACAAATGAGTTCAATCTATTTCCCCTGTTTCTCTCTAAAGCATGTTTGGCTTTTGTTTAGAGTAGAGAATGTTAAAGTTGGAGGTGACCTTAGGAATCATCTGGTTCAGCTCCATTTGACAGGTAGAGAAAATGAGGCTTAGATAGAGGAAGTGATTTAGTGGCGAAACGTGGCATATAATTTGACTCTAGTAATTACTGGACTAGAGCTCCTTCCATTTCATCTTGTTTCAAATGTGGGCCAGAGGCATGTAGAACCAATATTTGTGTGTGTGTGTGTGTGTGTGTGTGTGTGTGTGTAAAAGACCATTCCATTATTTTTTCTTTTCCTTTTAAAAAAAATTATTTTATTTTAAAGATGTGGGGTACAAGTCAGGTTTAGGTACATAAGTGGTTTACATACAGGTGAATTTTGGGCCTCCCACTGGTCTTCACTTCCCCTGGTTTAGGATCAGGTACCCTTAGTGATGCATGCGGTGCCCTCCCCTCCTCCCCTGATAGTATACTTCCACTGCCGATCCCTGTGTGATAAATGTTCAGGACCCACTTATGAGTGAGAACATGCGGTATTCAGTTCTTTGTTTCTGTGATAGGACTTTCTGACATCATACAACCTCCCAAGGTTGAAACAAGAAGAAATTGAATTTCGTATCTTTCTACACTGAGATACCATCTAACTCCAGTCAGAATGGCCATCAATAACTCAAAAAATAACAGCTGCTGGAGAGGATGTAGCAAAAAGGGAACACTTCTACACTGTTGGTGGGAGTGTAAACTAGTACAGCCTCTGTGGAAATCAGTGTGGCGATTCCTAAAAGCTCTAAAAACTGACCTTCCATATGACCCCGCAATCCCCCTACTGGGAATATACCCTGAAGAACTCAAATCACTCTATAAAAAAGATACCTGCACACGTACGTTTATCGCAGCATAGTTCACAATAGCAAGATCATGGAACCAACCATGCTGTCCATCAAAAGAGGACTGGATTGAAAAAATGTGTTACATATACACGATAGCCATAAAAAAGAGCAAAATCATGAATTTTGCACTAACCTAGGTGGAATTAGAGTTTAGAATACTGAGTGATCTCTCACAGAAACAAAGATCTGAGCACCACATGTTCTCACTCATAAGTGGACCTTGAACAACTACCATAATACTATAAGAAAAGAATTGACAGTGGCAAGAAACTATGGGGGGGGGGCAGGGAGGGGCAGGGAGGTGGGATTAACAGTAGTCAATATCTGCCTGGGGAAAGGGGGGCACAACTCATCAACAAGGGTACTTGCACAATGAATATTTGTATACCTAACCCTTAACTGTACCCCACAACTTTAAAATAAAAAATATATATTTAAAAAAAATTAACAAAAGAGGAAATTGAAGTCCTAAATAGACTAATAACAACCCAGAAAATTGACTCCATCATAAAACTACCTACTAAATAAAAGCCCTGGACCAGACAGCTTCCCAGTGGAATTCTACAAAGCATACAAAGAGGAGTTGATACCAATCCTATTGAAAGTTTTCTGGGCAATCGAGAAAGATGGAATCCTCCCCAAATCATTTTATGAAGCTAACATCACACTGAATACCCAAACCTGGCAAAGACCCAACAAGAAAAGAACTACCGACCAATTTCCTTGATAAACATCTTTCATTTTCTTGAGAGCCTTAATTTAATTCACTTACCCAACAAATGTATATAGTATTCATTATGTGCCAGACACTAACTGGTGAACGAAATACACAAAATCCTGCCATCATGGAGCTTATATTCTAGTGGAGAAGATAGACAGTAAACAATAAACCAGATAATTCTGCTCCTAAGTGGTTTCTACTTGGTGGCCATTCTTGCCAATTCTTTCTTTATTGGTGCCTCCACTGTCTCCATTGCTCCCCTCCATTTTTCTTTCCGTTCCTCTCTTTTGTTTATGGGGAGAGGAAAGGAAGACAGCCATTTCAGTTCCTTTTTTCTCTACACTTCAAACTCAGCGTGAAGTTTTGAATTTGCCTGTCAGTTTTAGTACTGGTGTAGCACTGGAGTGAAGATGTCAGTATTTTTCATCAACCCTGTACTAGTGGGCTGGCTCAGCTGTCAGCTTGCTTGTGAGATGACAATAAGGCATTGGATGTGAGACTTGTACTATTACCTTACAATTTATCTGTTCTTTTTTATGCGATTTTAGTTGTGCTAAGCCCCGTTGTACCTGGCTGCTTTGACAGGTGTGCTATTTTAGCAACACAGAACAAAACAGAGAAAGAAAAGAAGAATACATGGTACACTTGTGCTGTCAGATCCAGGTTGTTCTGTTCCTAAGTTTGTGGATGATTTGTTCAGAGTTGTTTAGAGACCAAAAAAAAAAAAAAAGTTAGGTTTTGTTTTTACCTGTGTGACACAAAATGGTCTCACAGTCACCTCACAGGTGGGTTGTTGCCCATATGGAGGCTCCTCTTCCCAGTTTCCATATTTGAAATTCCATCATTGTGATTAATTTTTCTAGTATAACGATTTACCTGCTCAAAGTATAGAGAGTCTGGGGCAGACTAACTTCTTAAATCCTTAACATTGAAGTATGCATTCATGTATCAGATTAATTTCTTCTTTGACTCAAAGCATGAGAAGGGGTGGCGTTGGTCAAGAACATGTGAGGTAGGAAGATGATGGAATAACCTTGGCCCAGTTCCCCAGAGCTGTTCCCAAATGTCGCCTTGAATGCCGTTTTTGTTGTTTTAATTTTCAGTGTTGAAAATGAGTGTAGGAGGCTTATGATTATACTTTAACTACTAAGCCTGGGCACTCTTCAATCAAGGAGAGTTGCTATTAGCTACCACTGAAATCTTAGAGGATTGTTCTTAGGTCTAGGAGGTGGAGAGCAAATATCTACTTTTGTTGTAAGGCAGCTCTGTGCATCCAATCCATTGGTAGGACATATGAGGATTTAAATATCTTTTTCTCCATTGAACTGTCAGCCTTGCCATATTCTCAAGGAACTAGGCACTGAAGTTAAGGAAGGGCTACAATGGACAACATAGCTTCAGCTATTTCAATTTCAAATTATTTTACATAATCTAAATGTACATGTACAAGTCCATTCTTCAGGCATTAAACAAAGTCTTATTCTAGTGAAAATGGAGGAAGTTTTGGGGAAACATTACCTAACACATTTTGAAGTAGAAGCAATGCTTTATTTACAAGATGGAAATGAAGATTGAAAGATTTCAAAAAATTAACTACAGTTTAGCATCAGTTGGAGAAAAAACATTCTTCAGAAACAACAAAGAAGAAAAGCTACAACACAATAATTGATACTTGCAAAATGATTTGCAACAGACTTTATGGCTGAAATGCTGAAAGGTGGGCCCCTACACACCAAAGGGAAATACGAATGCACAAAAAGACAAAGCACCAATTAAATGATTCAGTCTCCCATCTAAGACTTATTAAATAGATAAATCTGGAACATCTTTGGGCATACATTATAATTTTTCTATCACAGGCAGCATTTTGGAATCTTGAACAAGGTGTTAGTTAAAAAAAAAAAAATCAGTATTTGCTAGGGACCAAGGTTGCTCAAGATGACTATGTGAAGTAGGAAGAGAAGGGAGAAGAACAACTTGCCCAAAGTTCATTGTTCACCTACTATGTCTGATTCTGTAGGAGCCTCATGATAATGTTCAGTAGTGATTGCACACTTATAGTACTGATGGTTTCAGTGTTTTGTTCTCAGAGCTTTTGGTCCTTTCATTTTATCAGTATGTTTCTGTACCACATGATGGGCCTGCATACTGACTGAAGCATGTACAACCTACCTCTATCATCAACCCCTTCTGAGACTGGTTAAGCCAAGTCATCCCTGGTGGCCCCTGAGAAAACTGCAAGAACAGAAGCATGACCAAGCATCCCTGTCTGCGTGCAAGGGTCTGCGTTGGTAGTACAGCCCAGATCTTGCAATGTCCTTCTTCCAATGTTCCTCTTCTCTTCTATGACCCCTGAGTTGGGGGGTGGGAGATTGAATTCTGTGGCAAAGTTCGATCGAACGGAGCCACGAAATTGCTGAGCTGGTTTTAATTGAAGTGTGAGAAGGAGGTTTTCAGGCAAGTAGACAACATCCTGTTGTGCAGGCGCTTTTCTCTTTTTTGCACATCTGGCTGAACTGGGAGTCAGGTGGCTGACTTGTGCCTGGCTGCAGTAGTAGCAGTATCTCCCCCTTACTATTCCCTGCCTTGGTTTTCCTGAGAGTTCTTCAGGTCATGGACTCGGTGGCCGTGTATCATGGCAAAATCAGCAAGGAGACCGGGGAGAAACTCCTGCTCGCCACGGGGCTGGATGGCAGCTATCTGCTGAGGGACAGCGAGAGTGTCCCAGGAGTGTACTGCTTGTGTGTGCTGTGAGTACTTTGCGGCGGTGGCAGCGAGCTCCATGTCAGACCTGAGCTTGTCGAGAGAGTGGTCAGTGGGCATCAGCGACTGGGCTGGGGTCCAGGTCAGGGTGGGCAAGGGTACAGGCAGCAGGAGCTCACCCAGGCCTCCTACATGGCCCACCCTACAGCCCCAAGCCTTCTTCAGGTCCAGCCCAAGCCCATGGTGGGCATTTTGGCCTAGGTTTCTCCCAGGGGAATTAATTCTCTGGGCCTCCTGTTCTCCAGAAGGGTCTCACCAGGGCCTTTTGGGGCAGCTGCAGAGAATGTGCTTTAGGGTGGGGAAACACGGTCTAGGATTCACCTTTGCTCCAAGAAAGACCCAGGCCCCTGACTTCTGTTTTGATCCCTACTAGAGGCCAGGAAGGTGGAGCCCTGGGATGGTGAAGTGGCCAGATTTGAAGCCATCAATTCCCAAGAGAAGGAATAATCTCATTCCAGCTCTCTTTAAATGGGTTTGAAGTGTCATCCCAAAGGAAGAGCATCAGCGTCAGGGCCATGAGGCAGATTAAAAAAAAGAGTCCTTCAAGAGTACAGTGTCAGTTAAACCCGGATGCCGAGAGGGGGATGTGTGTGAGTAAAACCGCATCTCTGAAGCTGGTTATTTAGCTTTCTTTTGAGAAGTGGTATAATGGGTAGTGGAGGGTGGGATTCAGAATAGACCCTTCTTGATAAAAGCCAGGACCAACAATAGTCATAAAGGGCGTGGAGGGAAAGCATCTTTGTTATAATTCAGCTTTGCCCTTTGCCTAGGTATATCTCTGTCTAAGGTTCCATTTTGAATCAGATGCATCTGTATCTTTTCTTCAGAAGTTAAGTCAGGCAGATCTGAGACCCAATCCTGTCCTACTCAAATGCTAGGCTTGTGACCTCAGCAAGTTAATCTCTCAGTCCCTCAGTTTTCTCATTCATTCGATGGGTATCTTATTACTGCCTGCCTCATAGGATGGTAAGATTTGATGCCATAATACACATAAAATTAGCACTAGACCTGGCACAAAGTAAACGTTCAATAAATGTAAGCTGTTGGTATTATTATTATATTCTCTTTTCAGTTGATTTCTTTTGGTATTCATGGGGGCATTTACAAGAGAGGAACTTGTTCAAGCATTGTCGTCAGCAGGATAAAAGACACCCATGAAAACACTAGTCCTGCATAGTAGATTCTAGACAGAAACAAAATGAGGGAAAATGCTTGGTAGCAAGTTCAACACCTGATACACTGCAAGATTTTGAAGCACTTTCTGGGTCAGTGACGAAAGATTATCCTGGGCCAGTGTTGGAGGATTTTCATTGTATATTGGTTCTAAAAAAAATGGTCAAACCTTGTTTGTGGCAGTTCTCAGATCATGTTAAATACATTTTTCATAAAGGCGTCAAGGGAAATATGTGGAAGCTACTTCATCTCTAGGGCTTGGATCTTTATGTAGTGCTGATGTTATTGTTTTTTCTTTCCAGAGTGGAATCTGGGAAAGGGCAATGCAACCCAGACAGGATTCTTAGGATTTTCTTATCAAAAGTAGGTGGAGAAGTGCGTGGACAGGAGAAAGGCCTCGGGGAACTGACAAAGGGGATCATGGGCTCCTTGAACTAGAGGTAAAAAAGAAGGCACAAAAGAAGCGTGGGCAGGAGAGGGAGACCAGGAGACAATGAATGTATGGCAAAATACACCTAGGGCTTCAGCCTCAATGGACTTCTGGCCATTTCTCAAGCTCACCAAACATGTTCCCTTATAGGTTGTTTGCACTTATTGTTCCTTCTGTCTAGAATTCTTGTGGTTCCCATATTTGCTCAACTCTCTCCTCCCTCAGAGAGGACTTCCTTGACCACTCTATCTAGAACAAGGATCCTTTCCCTGTTCCTGTTACATTCTATCTCTTTATTTTTCTCCAAAGAGCTCTTAAATCTGATCTGTGCTTGTTTATCTGTTGCTGGGCTCTCAGGCATAAATGCAGTCTCTATGAGGGCAGGGGCATTGTCTTGGTCACCAGGAATGCAGCCTGGTACATGATTGGCATTCAGCGGATATTTTTGAATTAACGAATAAGCTGTGAAGGCAAATTCTGTTCTTAACTGCAAAGAACTTTGGATTGATATTAGGAGGGCAAGGTGTGGGCTCTGGGGAAATCACTCAAATTCTCTGGGCCTCAGTTTCCATATTTGTGAAACAGACATAGCAATGTATATCCTACCTTCTGCAAAAGACTGCTGTAGGTGAAATATTCAAGAGAGAAGGACAGTTTTAACCTTTTACCCATGTAGGCCAGCGCCATGTAAGAAATTAACTTAGGCAGGTGAGAATTCACAAACATTTAAGTTTTCACTCAAAGTGAATCTTGCATATATGCGATTTTTATGACTTTTAGTTCTCCATGAAAATCTCTTTGTGAAATAGCAGAAAATACTAGGCAAATCTTCCATATCTTTTGAATGGTACACTGGGACCTCAAAGTCTTATGAGAACTGTTAGGATAATAGCCAAACTGCGCTGCAGAGGGGAGACACAAACATACATTACCTTTTATCAGAATTTCTGAACCTTTTTGCATTGAGTATCCCTTTTGATAAATATAAACACTTCATTCTCTGTATTTACAAAATAAAATTTTATTTTAAAATAACTATGTACTTATTTTAAACCAAATCACGTATGCTTATGATATGCTGTAGAAATAACAATGCAAGAGGTGTCGTATACACATGAACAACAAAGTCTAGCTATCAAACATGCATTCACTGTAAGATTTACTCAGTGTGATTTCTCACTCTATCTTTTACTTACTCTCATTAACCAAGAAGATTTGGTTGAGCTTTCGTTTCTGTGTTTTTATTGTAGCGATAACACAATTCATATTCTTTTTTCTTAAGTCAAAGTTTCACTATATTTCTCAGATTGGAATGCAATGGCACCATCACGGCTCACCACACCCTTGAACTCCTGGACTCAGGTGATCCTTCTGCCTCCCGAGTAGCTGGGACTACAGGTGTATGTCACCACAATCAGCTAATTTTTTTTTGTTGTAGAAATGAGGCCTTGCTATGTTGCCCAAGCTGGTCTTGTACTCCTGGGCTCAAGCAATCTTTTTGCCTTAGTCTCCTAAAGTGCTGGGATTATAGGCGTGAACCACCACGCCCAACCTCATATGCTTTTCAAACTGTACTTTAAACTGTACTTTCAAACTATGCTTGTCCCTTTCCCCAGTTCTGAACCCCCTAATCATGGTTTTCAGATATGGCCTTTTTTCTTGTTCAGTTTTAGAAAATTAAATCTTGGAAAGCACTAAAGGAGTTTTCCATTTATAAGATTGTTCACCTTCATTTAAAGTAAGACATTTTTCTTTCAATTATTTTCTCTAAATAAATATATATTTGTATATGATATGTCTATTAAAAATGGCTCCTTATACCTAATTATAGAAAATTTGAAAAATATGGATAATGGAAATGAATGAAAAATCACCTACAGTTTGAAACCTTAAGATAATGATTGTTGAGTGAATTTTCTTCTATGTTTTAATATAGCGAATTGCTTTTTGAGCATATGTGTGTTCTTACAATATTGTGTTCTGTTGCATTTTTCACTTAATATGGAAAACCCCACTCATATATAATGTTCTTACAGAAGACTTTAAGGCATTATTTTATTTTTTTGAGTGGAGTCTCACTCTGTTGCCTAGGCTGGAGGGCAATGGCATGATCACAGCTCAGTACAACCTCAAACTCCTGGGTTCAGGCAATCCTTCCACCCCAGCTTCCCATGTAACTTGGACGATAGGCATGCATCACCACATCCGGCTATTTTTTTAAAAATTATTTTTTGTTGAAATGAGGTCTCACTATGTTGCCTAGGTTGGTCTCAGACTCCTGTGTTCAAGTAATCCTCTAGCCTAGGCCTCCCAAAATTCTAGGATTACAGGTGTGATCCACTGCGTTCAGCTAAGACATTATTTTTAATGGCTGCATGACAGTTCAGCTAGTTAGGGATTATACCATATTTTCCTTAACCAGTCACCTGCTTTTAGACATTTGAGTCATTCCATTTTTGTTATTATAATTCCATCAGAATTCATATTTCAGCGCACTAAAGTTTTTTTGTATTTGTGATTGTATCCTTATAGTGGATTTTCAGATATAGAATTTCTGGGTCAGAAAACATGAACAACTTAGAATTCTTGATGTATACATGATCACCAAATATTTTTTATATGGTTATTCCAACTCATATGCTTACCAGTAATGAATGCATGTGAGTATCCATTTCACTCCACACTCACTAAAAGTGGGTATTCTTGTTAAAACAATTCTTGAAATTTGGTGTCTTATTCTTTATTTTACATTTATTTTTCACTTCTTATATTTCTTTGGTTAGTGACTGATTGTCCTTTTATGGTTGTTAAACTGTTGTAGTTCCTTGCTCATGAACTGTTTATGTACTTTTCTCATTTAACTATTTGGATACATATACTAACCCTTGATCTTTTTGCAGGGTGCATTTTCTGTTTGGTGTTGGCCATAACTTTTTTTTACCCACAAAATTTAATATTTTTAGTAGTCAGATTTGTCACTTGTTTTCTTCCTTTGTTTTCTTGTTCCTTTACTTTCTTCTTTTGCTAGAAAATCCTTTCTTCTCCAGAGATGTCATAAAACTTTGCTTCAATTTTCATTTTAAATTTATGGTTTTGGTAATTTGTATTTAACTCTTTAACTCTATTTGGACTTTTATTTTGATGTGGATAAAGGATTTAACTTAATTTTGTTTCCAGATAGTTGGCAATTGTCCAATATAATTCATGACTAGAACTTCCATTCTTCATTGATTTGTTAGCCTACTTTACCATATATTAAGTTCTTATATGTAACAGTTACTGTTTCTGGAGTATTTATGTGGCTCAATTATTTGGCTCTATTCTTTCTTGTACCAATAGCTCTATGATAATGTTTTAATATACTTTAAAAAAGTATTTGTTATT